CACTCGAAAACATCTACGAGATTAATCCATGGGATTTACCAGCCAAGTTCATCGGTAAGTTTTCAGCAACTTCAAAAGAAGTGCCTCAGAAAAAGAACAGTAGACCCCTTACTCATTACTCAAAGAGCCTTTTTTAATGTGCGTGCAGAGAAATCGATCATCCGATCCAGAGATCAAGAATGGTGGTTCATATGTCCACAGATGCAGAACCAACGAATTAGCAGGAAAACACCATGTGGTTCGTCTTGGAAGATTACCGGTAAACATAAAGATATTAAGGCTAAAAATGACGACAAAAAGATCGGTTCCAAGATAACATTAGTTTTCCTTGATGGCCGGAATTCCAAGGGCACTAGATCCACCTGGGTTATGCATGAGTTTCATCTACATCCTGATGATGTGCGTATTTCTACTGTTTGCTATTTATTTCCAAGCCCTTTACTCCATTCCTTGAATTAATTGTTAAAGCAATTATGAATCATTTGAATGTGCTGGCACTTGCTCTTAGGGGAGTGGTTTCCTTGCTACTGAGCACCTATTTACAGGTTGAAGACCTTGGCTTTGAATGATCGTTTTATCTGGAAACAGTGGACTTGAAGTACCAATTTGTATATTATCTTGGACAACGTACTTTTTCTACTTAATTCATAAAACATCTGTTGGTTTTTGTGATTGAGTTGGGATGACTTGGATTCTCTGCAGACGAGTTTCGTTCTTTATTGCCTAAAGATGAAGCAAGATGAGAAGGCAGATAACCAAGAACCATCTATCCAGGTAATGAGGAACCAACCAAACCACGCAGCTATGTCCACGAATGGAGAATTTTCATCAACTCCTCAGTTTCAGTGTCCCAAAGTTTCTTTTAGCGAGCGAAATGAGGTTATTGGCGAGTTATCTAATAAAGTTTACAGCAAGAGTGATGGATCATATCAGAATGGAACAAAATCCCTAGCCCTGATACAGGAAGACAATCACCACTCCTCACCAAATCAGGAGCATCTCATGTGGAGTAAAAATTCCTCTGGTACAGAAAATTCATCAGGAAGGGGGCTTGCTGTATCTGACCCTACTAATGATGAGTTAAATTTCCCACATCCTTTTCTTGATGTTGATGTTTGCAGTGCAATTGAAGCTGAAAAAGAAAAAATAGATCAGGTAAACATTTTCTTTCCAATAACACATTAGTATTAGTGTAAACGAGTTCATTGTAGCAGATAATGGGTCATGAACTCGAGCATATGTTTTGTATGGCAAGACATCCAACGTTTGTTAAAACTCCTCCAGGTGGTTTGATAGCTATTTCAGATTCCTCATTCATTTTGAAAAAGAAATATAACCTATTCCCACATTTCAGAATAAGCTATTTATGAATCTTTTGTTCAGATAATTCCTACTGCTGGTTATGTGCCGTCTGATGAACAAGCAGATAAGAGCCTTGATAGCATGGATTGCGATAACCCAGGACAACTTCCTTTTGCAGAGGTGACAAAAAAAAAAGGATTTTGCAAGAGTCGAAAAACTTTGTTTCTTTCCATCTCTAGAAATAAGGAATTACATTTAGGATTTACTGTGTTCTTGAATAACAGCATCATGTCCAAGAAATGCAGAACCAACCGAATGACCTAATCATGAACGGGAGTTCCTCTAGTACAGAAATATCTTCCGGAAGTTGCAGTACTGTTTCCGACGAATGGAATTGGATTGAGCGCTTGATGTCCCCTCTTGATCATGATTCGTTTCCTAACAGCGACGTTTATAATTTTAAGGATCCGATTAGTGAAACTGAAGCAGGCAGAGGAGTAATTCAGGTAGTATTCATCGCATATATATTTTGATTGCTGAACTCATGCATAACTCTTTGTGCTTCAAGAAGTCCAGAGATAGTGAGAGTCTCCTAGCAGAAAGTTTCATACAGTATAAGCTGTGCATTTATCAGTTCTCTTTGCTTACTTTGGTTTCAGTATGGCCAACTTGGAGAAACTAGCTGGGACAATCTTTGGGCTAATAAGAACCGGCGGCCGGTCTGTGACATTCTCGAGGGAGCTGTTCCGTTAGAGGAAGAGGAAGGATTTGTTGAACAGAAACTCAACTATCCTCAGAACACCGAAAAGATCATAACAGAGTGCACATCTTCCGTTGGAGCACCAGCAAAAGCAAAGGTTGGTAAACCGATACAAATTACACTAAGTCCACTGTCGAAGTTGAGAGGCTTCAAAGTAGGACACTGTTCTAAACTTCTAACTGTCACTTTCGAGTCTATGTTATTTAGACAGATTAAGCATGGAGGCGAAGATCTTGTCCATAATTTTACTTTTCTCTTGGAGTTCATGAGGAACAGAACAACGAGAAAACCTTTCTGAATTTGTACTGTGGGCGCAGGCTGCAAAGTTCAAGGAGAAGGAAACTACCATGATTCAGCCACAGAAGAAGAAAGACGATGTGAAGATGGAATCAGACAACATATCCCGTTGGGAGACCTGGAATGATTCGCCTTCACTGACGAGATTGACTGCATCAACCAGCTGTTTCTGCCGAAATAAATCCACTATTGATCCAGGAGTTCTCCTTGTCATATTAATTGCACTCGTTCTTCTGGTATACGTGATTGTTCTCGGAATATGCAGAATATCTGATGGAATCAACGAGACGATACAGGACTATGTGTTTTACCGGAGATTTTAGCAAATGTCAGAGATGGCACGAGATCACTTCATTTGCTCAACGTGTCCCCCGTTAGTTCCCTATGTCGCATCAATAAATGTCTAAGGTCATCTTCGTCGTGTGCAAATGAAGTGGATATATGTTGTGCAAATTCCGAGAACCACTGATAGAGAAAGAGAAATGATGATCGTCTGAGACATGCAAATATTGTCCTATAGGATAATTTCCGCCAAAAGTGCAGATAGCAGATGCGTGGTAATCCTCTAGGATCCAATAGATCTACCGGTTAATATGCGCTTCACCATTCGGGCAAAGCAGGAACAACGAGAAATGTAAAACCAGCAGAAAGAGTAAAGAAAAGAGTGTATTTTTTATGTGAGTTGCTGTGTGTAGAACGATGAAGAACAGATTGGTATTTGTTGGAGAAATGGCCTGAGCAAAAAAGCTGGAAATATCAGCCAAAGGTTAGGAGAATTAATGAGAAATTGGCTAGCAAAATTAATAAGAACGGTCAGCACATTAAATATCACAATAGCTATTTTGATTAAGGACCAAAATATGAAAAATCAAAAGTTTAAAGGTAAGGATGTTTGATTTACTCGTAAATAGGCTTTTCCTGAAAAGGTCTCGAGATAAAATTAAAATTAATAAGATTACGCATATTAAATATCACAACAGCTAGTTTGCCCAAGGACCAAACTATGAAAAATTAAAAGTTTAAAGGTAAGGATATTTTTTTTTGGTCAAGAAGGTAAGGATATTTAATTTACTTGTAAATTGGCTTTTTCGGAAAAGGCCTTGAGAAAAAATAAAAATTTTGTAGAAGGAACCTTGGACTGGGCTTCGCTAGGGTTTCCTGGGCAAGATGGCGAAACCCAACTTTACACTTGATTCGGCCCAAACTCAAGTGAACCCATTAATAAAGTGAACAAGATAGAATTTCTCAAGTAATATAGGACGAAAATAAATAAAAGAAAGTAAGGTTTTCTAAGTACTATTTAACAACAATATGTTGGCTCCTCCCCAACAATTCGGAGATGTCAAATGTGGATCTTTGTTAGAAGCATGAAACGTCCAGTATTCGGGCCTTTGACATGTTCATCGTCAACAGAAACCGTCTAGTTGCTCGCTCCTCAATAGACCTATTATCAAAATGGGTCTTCTTAAATCATATATGATGCGATAAGTTATTATATGGGTTAGTTATATTCAGTAAATGGGTCATAAATGGATTTAAACATAATATGGGTTATAAATGGGTTCATAACATACTTAAATCTAACTCACTGCTATAACTCTCTCTTCATTTTCTCTCTCCCTTACTCGATTTCGCGCTTACTCATTTTGCACTATCACCTCTGTATGGATATGAGCTTTCATAAATTGGGTTAAATACGAAAGTATTTTAATAATATGGGTCGGATTGAGTATGTGTCATTAAATTTGTATTTAAAGGAAATGTGTCAAAATGGGTTAAATGGATCTATTTGGGTCAGACAATTTTCGACCCGACCCATTCATTTGATGGATCTTACTCTTGTGCTCGGAGCTCATTGAATTCTATGCATGAACAGACAAGGGAAGAAAGTCTACTCGAAGCAACCATTCGCAGGTTCCTCGAAAGTATCTTTGGCCTTTAGCAATCGAACTAAAATACTTGAGATCATCCTCGGATACGTACATATTGTTTCGTTCTTTTCATTCTGAACATTGTAGCATCCACCTAGGCTGCCATCCTCAACTAAGTTGAAGCTTCAAACATACGAAACTGTCCAGTAGCTGGCTCCTTGGGTAAGCTTGCTTAGAGCACAACCTGGAGTCTGCACTAGTTTGTTTCTCCACCGGTTGATCTCACTTTCTCTTACCTTTTTTTGTCGTTTCTGTGTATAGGTGGAGTTGTGTACTACACCAGTTCTCGTGTATTACATCGAATGAAAATTTATTGGAAGATCAAACCTAAAATTATAAAACTATTAAATGAAAGCATGATATGATATTTAAACGCTTTAATGGTTGGCCAAAGACAGGCTGTCCACTCAAAGAATCAATTCCTTGTAGCTCGACTCTAGCTCGTTTAAGTTCAATAAATATAGGAAGAACGATCATGACGATAATTTTTCCTTATTAGAATTTGCCCGGGACACTTAAAAAAAAATCTAAAATGAACACTTTCGAAGAAAGTTATTTGATTCAAAGAGCAACATTGACATTTTCAAAACATAATAAGAAAAAGCTTAGTAATTGTCTTAACCATTAAGCAACATTGTGGTTCATGGGGCAAACCAAATGCGATAGGGCTTACCCCAGAAGAGAGATAAGCACAACCCTAGATGTAACCGAGTCTAAGGATTCAGGCGTCTTACTTTGTTGAGTCTCTTCTTTCCTTCTTTGTTCCTCTCCCAGGTATAAAGAGAACCCAACCCAGATCCACATAGATCTATCACCTCTTGTTCTATTTGATTCATAGATTTCTATCTGCAGCTGTCAGAAATCAGCATGAACGATCCCAAGTATCCATATCCATATCCGGCTCAAGGTACGTTTTTCAATCTAATCTTTGTTTCAGTTTTGTCTGGTAAATCCTTGTTGTTTTCATTACTTCTTGCACTAATTTATAGTTCAGCTGGATATGATGATAGCTGCTCTTGTCCTCATCTGCATGTCCTTTCCAACTTTTTTCCCCACAGATCTCTGTTTCATATGGCAAGAACCCTTTTCTTGCTATGAAAACTTTGGACAATTTTGAGCTTACATTCATCAAATCTGGAACATGTTTGATCAGGGATCAATTGCTATGTCCAGAATTCATCTTCGGATGTTACGTGTATTGTAAGCTCTTTCTATAAGCCAAGATTTGCTAATCACCGTCATGTGTTTTATTATAGGCCCTTATCAAGGGCCTCCAGTGATGGCGCCGCCGCAGTATGCGCCTCCTCAGTATGCCCCTCCGCAGTACGCGCCTCCGCCCCCGCCTCCACAGAAAGAACGCGGCTTTATCGAGGGATGGTATGTTTCCTAAACATTCTTAATTTAACTTCGTTCAATCTCTCATTCTATAATCCAAACTTAAAGGAATACGTTCACCATTGGGCAGCCTTGCAGCTCTGTGTTGTTGCTGTCTCTTGGATGAGTGCTGTTGTGACCCGTCCATCGTATGCGTGTGCTAGCATCGTGCCGGTGGCTGATCGGAGACCATAAGAGCAGCATCATTTCAAACATTCATTTCAATCTACTATTTGTTCCATACTTTGTGTATTTTGCTAATATGTAGTCTAGCCCTTTAACTAAGCCTCGCCGATTGGCTTCTCGTGTACACTTCCAGACGTGAAATTTAGGCCCGCGATCATTGTGGTATAAAACGAAGGAAAAATTTCTGATGACCGATCAATAGTGATCAATGGAGAACGGAACCGTACTGCATGACTGAATCCTCGTTTGAGACAAAGTCTACTCCAAGGCTTCTTTTAAGAAAATAGCCTTGCCTTTTGATATTTATTTTTTTGGTTTTTTGTTTTTTGAGTGATCTTAATTAACACCTTTGATTGATACACCTCCTTACTAAGAGAGAATACAACTTTATACGCACACTGATAAAGATAAAAGTATTGTCTGACAAATCCATATTTTGCAAAAAAAAAAAAAGAATTCCTACCAAATGTTCCTTTTTATAGATATGATTTCCACAAGAAATTTCTAATATCAAATGTATCCACAGAGAGGTTCGGCTCCCGATTCTGGTCAGAAACTGGCCCATTTTTGTTTTGCATAAAAAAAACAAAATTTCATAATAAAAAATAAAAATTGCACTATTTCACTATAAAAACATATGTTGGTCTAGTGGTTATGTCGTTTATTCATTTTGAAGACTGTATTCGATTCTCGTTTAGTGTAAAATTATTTCTTTTTTCTAAAAGAAACTTTAAAATCGATTTAGAATATGTTCAATCTGGAAACTAGACTGGTTGAACTGGTTCTCTCTAGAATTGGATTTGACCCCAGTCGGTTCAGGCCGTTTCCTGGTGGAACCGAACCCGGTGCACATCTCTATAAACCAGAATCCCACCTAATTAAAATTGTGAAATTTGAGTATTACTTGTCTGGGAATAAGGCAGTCATACCACATAATGGAATAATTGTTTCTTTGCGAGCCTTTTTTTTAACATATACAATGGCTGTTTCATATTTTGGTCATCACTGAGCAAATGCCCTTACTTTGTCCACGCTTTTCTGATTTGTTTCTACTTTCGCGAAATAACCATTCAGCTCCTTTGCAATCTCCTCCTCAAACAATCAACCAAGTAATTTGAGATTTCTATGCGGCTAATTTATGCTAGAAAGCTATCAAGCATAGCTTTAACTAATTTTCTCTTTGTTTGAATCATATAACAGCCGTGGACCACAACAATTACGGTTTCGTGATCAATTACCACTTGTAAATCATATTCGTAATACCATATTGTTTTTTATTACTACTCCAACCGTAATTTTCAATGCCCTTACTTTGTCCATGCTTTTCTGATTTGTTTCTACTTTCACGAAATAACCATTCAGCTCCTTTGCAATCTCCTCAAACAATCAACCAAGTAATTTGAGATTTCTATGCGGCTAATTTATGCTAGAAAGCTATCAAGCATAGCTTTAACTAATTTTCTCTTTGTTTGAATCATATAACAGCCGTGGACCACAACAATTACGGTTTCGTGATCAATTACCACTTGTAAATCATATTCATAATACCATATTGTTTTTTATTACTACTCCAACCGTAATTTTCATAGAATACACGACCTTCATAATCCACTTGTTACACAACTTACTTTCATTATTATATATATATATATATATATATATATATATATAGATAATTATAGTTTGAAAGATTGACCAATTATCCAAATCAATGGTGAATGCTGTGCACGCGGGTTGTGTACTTGAAATTAATCGAGCCAACCGTTCCCCATAGTCCACCTATCGAAGAGGTAGCCTTGCGAAAATGTCATGTCGGACGCGACTCACACGCGCATGTTTGTCTATATGGACATACCTATCTCGTTTGCAAGTGCTTTAAGACTTAAGGGCATTAGCTAAGTTCGCTAAAAATAGGAAAAACGATTATGCCGACAGTTCTCCTTGTCAGAATTTATCAGCACACTTCTAAAAAACATTCGAAAATGGACACCTTTCAAGAAAGGTATTCGATTCAAAGAGATGAAAAGCTTACTAATTGTCTTAAACCTCAAGCGAACATTTTCATATGCCTAGCTTTGCTTGTTTCATGGGGCAAAACCAAATGCGATAGGGCTTACCCCAGAAGAGAGATGAGCACAACCCTAGATGTGACCGAGTCTTAGGATTCAGGTGTCCTACTTCGTGAAGTCTCTTCTTCCCTTCTTTCTTCCTCTCACGTTTATAAAGAGAAACCCAACCCAGATCCACATAGATCTGTCAGCACTTGTTCTATTTTTGTTCAGAGATTTCTATTTGCAGTTGTCAGAAATCAGCATGAACGATCCCAAGTATGCATATCCATATCCTTCTCAAGGTATGTCTTGTAATCTCATCTTTGTTTCATTCTTCTCCGGTGAATCCTTCTTGTTTTCATTGCTTCTTGCACTAATTCATCGTTCAAATGGATATGATGATGGCTGCTCTTGTTCCTCATCTGCATGTACTCCTTGCCAACTTTTTATTCCCCCGTAGATGTCTGTTTCATATGGCAAGAACCCTTTTCTTGCTATTAGATCTTTGGACAATTTTGAGGCTACATTCATCAATTCTGAAAACTGTTTGGTCGGGGATCGATTGCCGGAATTCGTTTCGGATTGTTACGTGTTTGATAAGCACTTTCTATATGCCAAGATTTGCTAATCACCGTCGCGTGTTTTTATCGTAGCCCCTTATCAAGGGCATCCGGTGATGGCGCCACCGCAGTACGCGCCGCCGCAGTATGCCCCTCCACAGTACGCGCCTCCTCCGCCCCCACCCGCACAGAAAGAACGCAGCTTTATCGATGGATGGTATGTTTCCTAAACATTCTTAATTTAACTTCGTTCAATCTCTCATTCTATAATCCAAACTTAAAGGAATGCGTTCATCGTTGGGCAGCCTTGCAGCTCTGTGTTGTTGCTGTCTCTTGGATGAGTGCTGTTGCGACCCGTCCATCATATGCATGTGCTAGCATCGCGCCGGTGGCTGGTCGTAGACCACAAGAGCAGCATCATTTCAAACATTCATTTCAATCTACTATTTGTTCCATGCTCTGTGTACTTTGCTAATATGTAGTCTAGCCCTTTAACTAAGCCCTGCCGATCGGCTTCTCGCGTACACTTCCGGACGTGAAATTTAGGCCCGCGATCATTATGTTACGGAACGAAGGAGGATTTGTGATGACCGATCGATACCGATTGATGGAGAACGGAATTGTACCGCGTGATGGCTAATCTTTAATTATTGTGGAATCCATTATTTGTCCACGCAATCGATTCTCGACCTGCATTTTTATAATCTCTATTGCCAACTTGATTGATCTCCCAAGGCCAATGCATTTGGTCCCCTCTGTCGCTTATACACCAAGAGATGCCGTGAACTGTTCGAAGTTACATCAACTAAACATCACGCTCATCCCTCCGCACCAAGTCAATAAATCACTCCAGGCTGTCGATGGACTACATCCAAGAAACGAGTCCGCTGTATCAACGCATTCATGTCCCGGCAGACTATACAAACGCATCATGCAAAATCGCCGAAGTTGATGGCGGGAACTCTCGAGACTTACACATCGGGCGGCGAGTGGTCTAGCAGCTCAAACGTCGTGAGAACGAGAGTACCCGGAACCGTATCTCGAGCAGACGGATTTTAGGGTTGATGCCGATACATGTCACCGGCCGCTAAAAAAACTCTAGGAACACGATATCATTATCATTCCCACCTACATATTAAGAAGTGGAACTATAACATTGACAAGACCCCTAAAGATCCATGCTCCAATATTTACAAAGAACCGTGTGATCTAGAAGACCGTTATACTAAAACCAAAACCCCACCGGGAGACGCTAATCATCTCAGAGACTATACCGGAGATGGCGCACCTCATGTATTACTTCTTCACCTCTTCATACTCGACTTCGGGTGCCTGGTCACCGCCCTGAGAGCCGCCAGAGCCAGAGGTAGAACCACCACCACCTGAACCGCCAGCCATGTGCTGTCCAATCTTTGACACCGCACTATTGGCAGCATCGATCTTCGCTTTAATCTCGTCTACATTGTCTCCACCCACTGCTTTCCTCAAGTCTGCAATTGCATCCTCTATCTCCCGTGCAACTTCGCTGGGTATCTTATCCCTATACTCGCCCAAGCTCTTCTCTACGCTGTAGATAGTCGTGTCTGCTGTATTTCTGATATCAATTAAAGCCTTTCTTTCTTTATCCTTCTGGGCATGCATTTCAGCCTCTTTGACCATCTTCTCGATTTCATGTTCTGAGAGTCCTCCAGAGGAACGGATAGTGATCTGTTGCTCCTTACCAGTAGCTTTATCCTTTGCAGAGACAGTGACGATTCCATTAGCATCAATGTCAAATGTAACTTCAATCTGGGGCATGCCTCGAGGAGCTGGTGGGATTCCCACGAGCTCGAATTCCCCAAGAAGCTTGTTGTCAGATGCCATCTCACGTTCTCCTTGAAGAACCTTGATACCCACCTGGGTCTGATTGTCAGCTGCTGTTGAGAACACCTGTATGAACAAAAACAAAATTTTGAAATCAAATACAAGTCTCTACCGTGAGTATATGTCTGTTGGAGACATGAAACAGAGACTCCAAAACGAACCATCCAAATTGGGCGACTTATTTTGCAGTTAAACATGCAGAGATGTAGACAACTGTCTGAATGTCTATGGTAATCAACTGTTGCATTGGAAAGCTTTTATCTGACCTTCAAATGTTAAGCCACATGAATAAAGTCAATATATTAAAAAATGTCACTGTTTATCTTATGTACATATAACAAACATCATCGTGGCATCTTCCATATTCTTTTTTGGTTGGAGCAACTTCCATATTGCATGTGAAGTTCCCGTACCCATGTGCCAATTCCCATGCATTATCACAATAACATGAGCGCGAGCATAGAGAAGAGACTCATAATGCGATTGTTGGATTCTCTAGGGGTTGAAGGAAAAAGCCCTGCTCTAGGAAAGGAAAAAGAGAATATTGTATGAGATTTTCCTAAAGAAGGCAATTCCACCACAGAACACTAACCTGACTTTTCTTGGAGGGAATAGTTGTATTCCTGTTGATCAAACGTGTGAAAATACCACCAAGTGTTTCGATACCGAGTGACAAAGGAGTCACATCAAGGAGGAGCAATTCTTTGACATCTCCTCGTAAAATACCGCCCTGAATTGCAGCTCCCAGAGCAACAGCTTCATCGGGGTTCACCCCTTTGCTTGGGTTCTTTCCAAATATTCCTGCAACTACTTCTTGTATTTTGGGAACACGAGTCATACCTCCAACAAGCAGAACTTCGTCAATATCCTTAGTGGAAATGCCTGCATCCTTCAAACAGTTTTTACATGGATCCTTAGTCCTCTCAATCAAGGGATTTACCAGACTCTCAAATTTCGATCTAGTTAGTGCAATATTCAAGTGTTTAGCCCCTGAAGCATCAGCTGTGATAAAAGGCAAGTTAATTTCAGTCTGGCTTGTTGATGAGACCTCGATCTTAGCTTTTTCAGCAGCTTCGCGAAGCCTCTGCAGAGCAAGTCTATCCTTAGAGAGATCAATTCCCTCGGTTCTCTTGAACTCATTCACCAGGAAGTCCAACAGAGCATTGTCAAAATCCTCTCCTCCCAAGAATGTGTCACCATTTGTTCCTTTCACCTACATGAGAAAGAACTCCAGATTAATTTTCCCTAATTGGGACAAAAAACATAGAATAATACAATGTGAGTCAGACCTGATCATACCTCAAAAACACCATTGGATATCTCCAGAATCGATATATCAAATGTTCCACCCCCGAGATCAAAAACAGCAATTAGACCCTCCTTATTGTTCATACCATATGAAAGAGCAGCTGCAGTGGGCTCGTTGATGATTCTTTCTACGTCAAGCCCTGCGATCCTCCCAGCATCTTTTGTTGCCTGTCTCTGAGCATCATTGAAGTAGGCTGGAACAGTAATAACAGCTTTTGAAACTGACTTTCCCAAATAAGCCTCGGCAGTTTCTCTCATCTTCTGAAGGATGAAAGCACCAATTTGACTTGGGGAATATTGCTGCCCGTTTGCTTCAACCCATGCATCTCCATTAGGACCTCGTACTATCTTATAAGGAACCATCTTCATCTCTTTCTGGGTTTGGGGATCATCAAAACGTCTGCCAATCAAGCGCTTGGTGCCAAAAATTGTGTTTGTTGGGTTTGTCACCGCCTGTCGTTTTGCCGGAGTACCAACAAGCAATTCTCCTTTCTGGTTAAATGCAACCACAGACGGAGTGGTTCGAGATCCCTCAGCATTTTCGATAACTTTGGGATTCTGCATAAATTCGCATTAAGATTAGCAAAACTGCTCCAGAACTCGGAACCGACATAAAGAAGCGAAATCTCAAATGAAATAGCACAGTAGAGCATCGCTCCCTCTCACCTTTCCCTCCATTACAGCAACACAAGAGTTGGTAGTACCCAAGTCGATACCTACCACATCATTCCCAGAAGGTTTTGAACTGCATCAAGGAAAACACATACGCTGCTATGCATTATGAGTGATAAATAGCAGTTGAGACACAACAAATTACATAAAAAAAAATATGTCTACCTAAATGGCCTGCATAGACTTGCCCAACTCAGACCTAGATAAGAACCTGGCCTCGACAACTTTCCATTGCCAGTCAGCTGCAAAAAATTCGGACATCAGAACCGAATTTTTTAGCAAAAGTTACGAGAAGATTAATGCAAGGTCCAACATTGCGCAATGGCGCTAGAACCAAGTCCACAATTATCATACCCATCTTCCAGGTCTCTCGAAAAGTTGCAAATTTCTCATTTAGTTATATCAAGATCATTCGCCACAAGGCAACGAAAGCAGAAATGTTCAATAGAGATTAATGAACCACGGGGAAGAAAGAAAGGAACGGAGCGTAATTAACCGATTTCTATATGCCTATATTTATCCTTCACTCATCGAAACTTCCTAAGCTACCAGTACCACGACCCAGATTTGCAACGGTGAAGGAAAAGAAAAAATATGGAAGCGACAGACTTAGAGCTTCAGACGTCGGAAAATCTATTTCAGTTTCCACCGACCATAAACTATGGAAGTGCGTTTCTTTGCACATCAACCGTGAGGAAGCAGCTTTCGCACGTCCTCTCGCCCCAGTTCAAACAAATCGTTCGAGTTTCAATCAGAAACCAGCTAAAGCGGTCTCCTTAACTACATCGCTTTCCCTTCTATCGCGATTTTTCGAATCCCAAATCCAAGGAAACGATGCGAAGTACCTCGAAAGCCACCGAACACGCTCACCGAACGAAACAGAGCAAACATGAAAACATTCCCAAAGCGCGCGAGAAACCGAAAGAGAAAGGGCCAAACAGGGGAACCGGGGAGCTCGAGAGGAGGAGACGCACCGATCCGCAAGCGGCGGACGCGGGAGCGGAGGCGACGCCGCGGCGCCGCGCCGCGCGGAGGAGCGCCGCGGAGGCGGCCATGACCACCGGGCCGTCCGACCGACCGACCGGACCGGTCCGGAGCCTCACCAGAACGGGAGGGAGGAAGGTAGCGACCGAAGGCGGCGCGGAGAGAGCCGAGCAGGGCGGCACCGGCGGCGGGGGCGGGGGCGCGGGAGGCTCGAGGCGGTGGAGGAGCCGAGGGTTTTTGGGGGTTTAAGGAGGAGGAGGAAGAAGAAGAAGAAGAAGGAGAAGTGAGAGAGGTGCGGAGGGACCGTTCTGGTTCGTTCCGGAGCTATATGATGGAAAGTTCTCGATGCTTTTTGTTTGCGCCAAATGCTCAAAAACGGTGGCCTTTCGAGGCTGGAAACGGCGCCGTTATCGGGTGACATCGGGGCGGGGCCCCGAAAGCCCGCACCGACCCGGGGAATCCCGCCCGCTTACCTCCCGGGCGGGCCTCCTTTTCCGTGCGTCGGGCCTGAGTTCGGGCTTCGAGAGCCTTGGTTGTCACCCCCGAAGTCACCTTGAATTGTTGGATCTCTTCTTCTTCTTCTTCATTGCGGGAACAGTATCAAAAAGTTCTAAACATTTTGCATTGGTACCAATTTAGTCATAAACACGTGAATAGCTATTAGCCGGAAGAAGTAAATTGACACCAATGCAAAAAGTTTAGGACTGAATTGGCATAAAAAAAAGGTTTATGACTGAATTGGCACCAATGAAAAAGGTTTAGGACTGAATTGACACCAATGAAAAAGGTTTAGGACTGAATTGACACAAATACAAAAGGTTCAGGACTGAATTGGCACCAATGCAAAATGTTTAAGACTGAATTGGCACCGATGCAAAAGGTTTAGGACTAAATTGGCACAAAAAAAGATTTAAGATTAAATTGGCATCAATGCAAAAGGTTTATGACTGAATTGACACCAATGAAAAAGATTTAGGACTAAATTGGCATCAATGCAAAATATTTATAACTTTTTTGACACTCTTCTCTCTTCATCGCTAACGTTATTTTCCGAAGTCAAGTTGTCTTTAAATACAAAACTCTATTAGTCCCAAAAGCCCACATCGATCCAGAATCTACGTTTCCGGGCAGGCCTTCTTTCGTGCGTCGGGCCTGATTTCGGGCTTCGGAGCCTTGGCTTTCCCCCGAAGTCACCTTGAATTATTCGATCTCTTCTTCTTCTCTTTCGTTGCTAACATCATTTTTCCGAAGTCAAGTTGTCTTTAAATACGAACTCCATCCATCCCCAAAAGCCCGCATCAACCTGGAATCTGCGCTAACGTTATTTTCGGAAGTCAAATCGTCCTTAATACGAACTCCCATCCGTCTGAACAAGATCACCAAAAAAAAAGAAGGAGAAAAACAAAGACCATCGTGTGTCTAAATTATTATATATTGACAAGATACCAACTAGAATTCCACGTCGAGGAAATATCTTTTACCGACGTTAATGGACCTTTCTCCGTGAAATATAACATCGATCAATTACGACATCCTGAAAATAATCGCAAATTCCGAGTATATTGAATATTCTATTATTATTTAAGGAGCAGTATCGATCGAATCTTCTCCTTTTTTATTTTATTTTATTTTTGGGTTGAAGAACAGTATCTACTGTTTCCATAGTTGCAGCCGGACATCACTTCTTGTTTGTATATTTATTTCTTAGATTTACTTCTTTAAATAGAATAGGACACTATATACATATATATATATATATATATGTATGTATGCATGTGTACTACCTTGTGAAGGCAAATTTGAAGCGCGCGGTAGCTACATACCACTGAAGAAACTGAGAAGCGAACACCATGGAAGCTCAGCGACAGCAATGTCGTCGCGACCTCGTATCCAACCGAGAAGCAGAAAAAGCAGTATGCAGTCTCTGTCTACTTTTCGTCCTCGCCGAGGCCGCGGTTTTCATGGTCGGGCTTCTTATTTACGCCCCCGGGTCCTTGGAAGGTTATTCGGTGACGGTAAGCGTGACCTCTCTTTCCCTCTCCCTTCCCTCGGCGGCGGCGGCGGCGTCGCCGTCGGTCGTCAGCGGGAACTGGAGCGTCGCCCTCTCGGTGAAGAACCGCATGCGGTGGCGCCGGTTGGGCTGGGACCACCCCCAGGTCATGCTCTTCTACGGCCACGAGTTCGTGGCGGGGGCGTTCCTCGAGAGGTTCAGCGTGGCCCCGAGAGGGGAGGGGACCCTGGAGACGGGCACGGCCGCGTTCTCCCGCGACGTCGGGGAGTGGGCGGCTCGGGCCACGTGGACGGACGGGGGCGACGGCGGGGTGATGGAGTTGGCGGTGAGGTTGCTCCGTCACGACGACAGATCGCCTGACTGGTTGGGATGGGATAGTTTCGACTGCCATGGTTTGAAGGTGGGGTTCTCGAGCCAAAACCAAAGCCAAGTGGGTTTGCTCTTGAGTGGCTCGCCACGCAAGTGCACCTAGGGTTTCCATGGCCGCCCCTGGCCTGATTTTTTTTTTTTTTTGGCCTGTTCCGAATTTTTAATGTTTTGAATTTGAATACGAGTAATTATAGCATATACCGTCGGTATATAATTTGTTGATGTGAGAAAGAATTCATGCGACTTTTGTGATTACATGATTTGTTACGCATTTAGTATTAAGGGCTTTTGCGGCCATTGTCTTTTACGCAGTGCTTCGGCATGGGGCTAAAACCATGCAGGTCCATTGAGTTCGAGTTCGAGTACGAGAAAATATTAGGTTAGTCTCGGATGACCACGTCAGCATGGTCCCAGGCCACTCAATGATCGACACGTGGCTCCACGTGGCGCATCCAGGAGCCTCATCGGCAGCTAGAATATGGCGGCACCGAGTTTCGCACCAGAACTCGCACCGGTAATTCTGAATTGCACGCCAAACGTTTGCACCATTTACCTCTTTCGCTGTTCAGATCTGGATTTGGAGTTTTGTTGTAGGGGTGTAATGGGTGAAGCTTCTGGTGTGGAGCTAATTGGGAAATCTGAGTGAATGGACATCTTGGCTTTGAATATTGGTAGAGTACTTTAGACCACGAAGGGATGAGTCTGATAATTAGTTGATGTAACTTCCAAGAGTTCATAGCTATTAGAAAACGCAGGTCAAGAATTGGTTTGAGTGGATAAAGAGAGTTTTCCGACGCCTTCGACGGAATGGCATCGGGTGTGCTGTGTCTTTCCTTCTCTCGCGTATCTACGATTCCTAAACTACTGCGCGATAAGGTAAGATGGGTATTGAAAAACTTTCTTCGTTCTATGCCAAGATGATCACGGGCCTAAATTCCACATCCGGAAGGGTACATGAGAAGCCGCCGATCGACGAGGCTTCGTTACAGGGCTAGACTGCATATCAAGCAAAGTATATGGGACAATAGTATAGATGAAATGGATGTTTGAAATGATGCTGCTGCTCTTCTGCTCTTCGATCGGCCACCCGACCGCAATGCTAGCACGCGCATACGATAGACGGGTCAACCACAGCAGCACTCCTCCAAGAGCCAGCAACAACAGAGAGTTGCAAAGCTGCCCAATGATGGAAAAATAAAGAAAAGGATAGTGTCAAATTTTGAATAGGATAGAATTTCATTGCTTTTAGTTCTCTAATCTATACTCTTCGGGCAATCCAGTGAAGACTAGACATGAACTTATCCCTTAAATTTGGACTAGAAAGAGAGATGGAACAAAAGTAAAATATGAATGCTCAGGAACGTACCATCCCGCAAGACAGCCGTTTCCTTGCTGTGGAGGTGGAGGTGGAGGCGGAGGCGGAGGCGCGTATTGCGGAGGCGCGTACTGCGGAGGCGGAGCTGCATACTGCGGAGGTGCCATCACCGGAGGCCCTTGATAAGGGGCTACAGCCACACACATGATGGTGATTAGCAAATCTTGGCTTTCTATAAAGAGCTTACGAAACACGTAACATCGAAAACGCATTCCGGACCAGCAGTTGATGAATACAGTCAAAATTGTCCAAAGACCTCATAGGGAAGAAAAGGGGTCGTTGGCCCCCAATCATCTCCAGTGGAACGATGATTTAGTGCAAGAAGTGATGGAAAACAATGAGGATTCACCAGAGGAAGATGGGAGAACGAAAGAGAGAAAAAAAGGGCAAAAGTAGATTACAAGAACATACCTTGGGCAGGAGGATATGAATATGCGTACTTGGGATCGGTCATGCTGATGATTGCTGACAAGCTGCAGATAGAAAATCTCTGAATCAAACAGAACAAGTGCTGATAGATCAATGTGGATATGGGTTGGGTTGGTTCTCTTTATACCCGTGAGAGGAAGTAAGAAGGAAAGAGGAGATGTACCAAAGAAGGAAACCTGAATCCTGAGGCTCGGTCACATCTGGGGTAAGTGCTTTATATCTCTTCTGGGGTAAGCCTTAAACGCGTTTTAACTTGCCCCATGAAGCAAGCCAAGATTGCTCAAGGGTTAATGACAGACAATTAGTATATTGAGTATGCTATAGCTAGTAAGCCTTAACGCGTTATACAGCCATTGACAATTAGTATAACGCGCTTAACTTGCCCCATGAAATCTATCAGTTTTGGAAAGTAAAAATTTGTCGGGGGCAATACAGCTGGATTGCGTTTGGCTGTCCAGATACGAATTGGGATAGGATAAGATGTGTTCTTTCTCATCAAGGAGGTGCATTAATGAAAGGTGTTGATAAAAATCATGAGCTATTCACTCAAAAAAACAAGGGTTAATACCACCAAAAATTCCAAATTTGTATACTTGTGACAAATTACCCTCAACTAATTTTTTGAGCACCAAAAATCTCAAACTGGTACATTTGTGACAAATTACCCTCCGTTAAATTGGATTAATGAAAAAAAAAAACACAAACTAGTATACTTGTGACAAACGAAAGGTAAAACTCTAAACTGATACATCCGTCAACCGTCACGTGTCATTTAACTCAGCAATTTGACAATAAAATTTAACAAAAACTAATGGAGGGTAAATTTGTCACTAATATATCAATTTGGGGTTTTTTATGATCAATAAATTAGTTTGGAGTAAATTCGTCACAAGTTACCAGTTTGGGATTTTTCGTATTATTAACCCAAAAAACAATTAAACCAAACTTTTCAAAAAGAAAATTTGATTAAATTTACTCTTCTTATTAATGAAGGATATATCGATGTGAATTATAT